ATAACTTATTACACCTTCATGACTGCTGCCAAACAGCGTGAACTACTTTTGTACTACTTTGTTTTTATGTGTTACTGCTACTGTTTGAGGCTTGTTGTATAGAGAATTATCTTTGTGGTGGCCATTTATATGAAAGTGATGGAAGGTGATAGGAAAGGTTGACTTAACTAATTTTAAGATATTTCCATATTTCATGGTTAATCCGAAGAAGAAAGATTATCACTCTCAATCGAGGTACACATCAGCCCCTCTCCACGTTCTTAAATCCTGACTTTGTAATGGTTCTAAGGGTTATCTTGCCAGATTTTCTTGTGGTGTGACGTGTGCGAAAAATTATCCGTTCTGATCGAAGGATGTTAAAGCTACCCTGCTCTAAAATGATAAACATTAAAATGTTAATTTATGATCCAATCTCCTGTTGTGTGCGGTGAGTAGGGAACACAACAATAGGGAAGGAAGCTGACTGAAGAAGGGACAACAATCTGATTCAATTTTTTCTCAGCTTCAGCTCATGCTTTTAACATGTACAGCTCATCTTCACACCGTCTCCACGTTGTCCGCTGTGTTGCACAAAAGTCGCCTTTGACCTCAAGACATTTCGCAAGATTTCCATTGAGAGTCAGGACTCTGGTTGTTTGTGTAAGTATAATTGTAATCTGTGTGGTGTGCTGTTATGATCCCGTCATTGCTGTCCACTCCCTATAGACATAAAACTGTTTAATTTAGGATTATTTGTCGTTAAGTGTTGGGTCTTGCACATTTTCAAAATCTGTTATCTGTGAAGATTCTTCAAAATCTAGTGTGGTCCAGGCTTTAGGAACATTATTGGCCTTGATTTGAGATGCTATGCATATTTTGCACATCCCTTTTTAATTCTGTTGGACTAAAGGTAAAACAAAAATGGAGGTGAAATGACTTTAATGCTACCCTTGTGGCAGTGCAGTGAGGCAGAGGCAGATAATCTTGCAGATTATTGCTGTGAAATCCAACCCAGAGGCGTGAAATATAAAAAGCCATTAAGAGGTCAGTAGAGTCTGCCAATCCTCTCAGCAATGATTACATTTATTTAGTGTAATTTTCCAAAGTCTCACACAGCGTCCTCTCTGTGACATTAAATTGCACCATTTAGCACTTTAGGTCGACGGAGGTCTGATTAGTATTCATCCCGTTGCCTCTGTTCATAGTCTCAATGCTGAAGTACTATTCCTTATGGCGTATACAAAGAAGAAATACACAGGGTTAGGTATTAGCAGAAACATGCCATGATCATCACATTGGGCTCTCACTGCTGGTGTAGAATATGTCGGGATCTTTCAGTGACTGGCCTGGTTCAGGGCATTCCAGTCCAGGGCGAGAATAATGGGATCCTTTCACAGGTGGAGGGATCTGGGAATGTCGTTAACGGCTCTCGCATGGTGAAGACGTCTCAAGGGTCTGAAACATTCCTTCACTCTGCGTTCACCTAAACGGAAGAAAAAAAGAGAGGAAGCTAGAGAGAGAGAGAGAGAGAGAGAGAGAGGAGGCAGATATCTGGGTCAACCTGCAGAGAAATCAAAACAGCAGCTGTTCACCTATATCTGCACCTATAGGTGAGAAAGAAGTGAGTCGTTCAAATGACGCTCACACTGGTTGGTTCAGGTTTCAGGTGCTTATGTCTTCTGGGCATTATTCCAATACTTGGGAATGAAAGGAAGCTTGGGAGCGATGGTTTATGCTTCCTCTACCGCTGTTTATCTTTCCCCTGAAGACGGAGTGAAGGCCGCCCTGTCTGTAGGTGAACCGCCAGCCTTAATCAGGCCACTTTTATTCATGGTTTTCTGTTGTGATTATTGCTTTTTGTGGAATAAACGTTAATGCTTTTGCCATTATTAGATTAAAATAATGAATCTTGATGAATCAAATTAGAGGCTGTGACTAGTCGGGATTAACCACAGTTTGTTAAATGTTTAAATATTTAAAATGTCTCATATTGAATGGGCACTTTAACACAGAACTCCAGAGCTTTTAATGCCCAGTCTAAAGCAGACACTGGAGGAAAGTGTGTTTCTTTGACCTACTGCATTGGCTTCATTTTTCAACACTGGCGGTTGCAGCTTCAGTTTAAGGTGATTGAATGCTTATTGAAAGCGTAGTCCTTTGCTTATCTGCCTCCACCATCTGTGAATGAATGTGTTTGTGGAAGCTTGGTTGCTGGTCCATGTATCCTAAGTGCAGTCCATTTACTATCAAACATTCTTTATTGATGTGTTACCTTGGTAAAAGTTTTCCTGAGTGAGTTTATGGTCTCAGTTGCTACCTTTATTTATGATAGAGCGTTGTGTTCATTGATGGACCCATTTAGAGTTGATAGATAGCTTTCCAACCTGCCCAGTTTTTTTATTTATTATTATTTTTTTTTATTAATTTGGTCCATTTTGAACGACGGTCCAGTTATTCCAATGCCAGGGTCTTATGCTAATTTAAAACCATCTCATTGGATGGCAATCAGGAGCCCAAATTCAGTAGCCAGTCAGGTAAACACATTATGACTTTTCTGATCAGGGATTAGCATAACATAACATAATAAAACAAAGTTCTATTTATACATGAGTGTCTTTTTAGTCTGCCTCCATCAAACTGTTACAGCTGTAATTTAGGCATAACGCAGCATTTGCTCAGTTATCAACATGTTGACCCTCCCTCCTCTCCAGTCCAAAAATATGAAACCAAATATGTAAAAAGCTATAATACCTAACCTACAAAACATTAGTGAACAAACCAAGGCTAGTCGTTATCATTTATATACATTTACTCATGATCAGCAGAGTGTGCTTCTAAAGTTAAAACACAAAATGCTTCACAAATCTCAATACATAACTCGACTCGTAGGTCATTGCAAAATACGGGAGGAGTCAGAAGTTATTAAAGGAAAGGAATCATTTTTTTTTACAAAATGAGTTGCAGTAATGTTCAATAACAAATAGTTATGAGGTGTGTTTAATCTGTAAAGTCAGTGGTGAACATGTGGATGTGTGTGAGAAAGAACAATAACCGCAGACAGATTTTCATGAAAAAACGATGACCGCGCATAATTTAATGAGATAATTATGACCTCGGACCTGTCAAAAATTTTGATGAAAAACATTGACTGTTGACCTCATCGTCAGTCAGGCTGAGGGCCAGAGAGTCAGAGTGTGAATAAAGGATGTAACTTTCACTTCCTTAGTTTTTAAACAGGCTATTACTAATTGGTTCTGTTTCCCTATTCCTAAAAGATTTGGCTGTTACAATTTAGAGCCCCTGGACCTGTTGCTCTCAGGGGATAAAAGCCCGACCCAAGGGTGGCTCTCTCTCTCTCTCTCTCTCTCTCTCTCTCTCTCTCTCTCTCTCTCATGCCACATGGTATCACATCTAACATCATTTTCACATTTCTGACCTTGTTACATTTTGCTTCACAACACCCCACACTCTTCTTATGCCACACATCCACATTCACTCAGTGACCTCACTGACGGATGCACTCCATGTTTGCAGTTCTCATGTCATGACTTTCCTACAATAAATCATTATTATTTGCAGTTAATGGTGTCCTTTCTCATACTGGTCATGGCCCTTAAACCAGGTTATGGCAGGGAAAGCAGCAGATCTGTGTAGACAGAGAGTGCACCAGGCCAAGGTGCAGCTGATCCTACTGATGAGCCTCCAGCCAGGACACACCTCCTGCAGCGATCATACCCACTAACAAGAGCAGCAAGCCAAAGGGTGCGTTCGAATTGTCATTTTTGCTTAGGAAGGTTCCTAACTGAGTGAAATGACCCGGAAGTATTTAAGTGGCGGCCATGATAAGAGCCGTTCGAATTCTCTAAAAGTTAAGGAAAGGTGGGTCAGTGCTTCCTTTATAACCTCCTTTAGCTTAGGATAGCACTGGACCGTCCTTTACCAAAGGAGATGAAATATGCCGCCCCACAATTCCTTGCGGCCGCAACATTTAAAGCGAGTCGCGCATCCGAGCGTTCACGATCCCTTCATGTAAGGGATAAAAAGATAAGAGACATTTTTATCAGATGATGTTTTATTCAACGTATTTCCTTCTCTTAAGAATGTTTTGTGCAGTTGTACATTTGTATGTTTAAAACATTATGTGTAGGTTATATTTTGCAGAAATGTAACAATTAATTTCATACAATCATATTTATGTTGATGTTGATTTCTGATTGGACAGGAAGCTGAAGGTTTCACTTTGTTACTTGTAGCCTGGTATTCTATATTGCTTTTATTTCAATCCCAACCTTGTGGTGATTAGGATTATTTCACCGGTAAGAAGGCACAGGGGAAAGTTTTTTAGATGCGCTTTTTGTAGTCCATTTTCAGAACATTGTAGTTTCAACACGGCAGACCCCACGTCATTAACCTCCGCCGACCCGTCGCATTTAATGACGTCGCCTAGTGGAAATGTGGTCAGATTGTCAGAGCAACGTGATCGCTTTTCCTTAAGTCCTTTATGAATTCTCCTAACATCTTTCTTAACCTCATGACGTTTTCCCCGGGGTTAAGGTAAAGTGGATAGTGAAAGGAGATAGGAGGGAAGCTGAAAATGATCTCTGTTTAATGGCATCAAATGAAGGGTTCACAATATGTCAGGTACTTAACAGCCTGATTTCAGATTAAATAAAGATCAATAAAGCACTTTGAAATCCAACTGCTGGATCACTTTTAAAGAGCCTTACAGTTGTGTACTGCGAGGCATAGTGAGGCAGTGACAAAGTATTGTGTGAAATATTGCTTTTGCTTTTGCTGTGCATTGCGTGCAGGAGGCAGCACTGAATTATGGGCATGCCAAAATCATATTGGTCTCAGCTGGATAAGTCCAATTCTGCTGGATGCTCCTGGAAACATAGCCGGCTGAAACAAGCTTTATACTCTGCCGCTATATACATATTCAGATTTGTGCAGCATAAACAGGATGTTTCAGCTCTGCTCTCTTTCTCTCTCTCTCTCTCTCTCTCTGAAGCTGGAGCTGGATTCCTGCTTATCTTTTTCATTTCCATTTTGGGATATAAACACTGAAAAAGGTCGAACAACACAAGTGCAATATCACAGAAGAGAACAGGGTGACGTGCCAAAGCAGAGTTTGTTTTTTCTGCTCCCTTCCCCTCGCAGAGTGTGAATCATGAACGCATTTTGCTTTCTCATGCCGGGAGCCAAAAGTGCTCAGCGTATAGCCTTCAGTTAACCCCACAGAGTTCAGATCGCTCCTTTCTGTTCAGTCTTTAAATGCTGTCTTTGCAAATTATGGTGCCACTCCATATAATCATGGTTTTGTTGGTCTCCCTCTAACTTGTGTTTCTACCTTTTTTTTTCCTCCTCTTGTTTTTTTCCTTCCAGGCCTGGCGAGTGTGGTCAAAAGTCTGCTGTGGTCAAAAATGGCTTCTCCTCCTGTCCCCATTCTTCCTCCTATTCCTCACGATTGCTGTGATGATGACGACTCTCCCTATTCCTTCGCCAATCTTAAGCATCGACCGGCGGACGTCCCGAGCCCTGAGCTCTGCCGGGGAGTTCCGATCGAGGCCCGGGATCGTGGAGCTCCCTCCTGCCGTTGCCTTCCGGCAGCCTCTCGCTCACATCCACAGCGGGGCCTGGAAATCCATCGCTGAAAAAGAGACGTCTAAACACTCAGTGGCACCTAACCGTTTCGGAGACGCTGCTGGCGATGACAAAAACAGCATCAAAGAGAGGAGTCACGCAGACTGGCACAGAAATAAACACAAAAGCAGAGGCATTGCTTCTGAAAGGAAAGCAATCGCAGGCGCCAGCCAGCATCCAACCAGTCACCATCATCATCTCAATCTCCCGGAGTTTACCGTCAACAACACAGGCCCAAAGCTTAGAATTAAGCAAAGCAACCGCAGCTCTGTGGTAAAGCACACTGCACTGACACACATACGTCTGAAGCAGAGTAAATCTACAGCAGCACGTATATCTGTTCCTGCAAATACTCTGATAAGTGAAAGACAAGCTACAGACAGACAGGCAGACAGATGGGAGGATAAACACACAAATGCAGACGCACAAATACATGGCAGCCATACAACTGCAGAGCTATCTGAACATCACCACGCTTTGAAAAAACACAGACAGCTCTCTGGGAAAACTGACAAAGTCAATAAGGAGCAGCAGGCTGTGAAAAAGCCCTCGGGGGATCCGAGGAAACGTCGTAATCTCTCAGGGGATCCGACTGACGCAAAGAAGAGTCCTGGGTCGCTGGAGCAAAGAAAGGCTTTGTCCAAACCAGAGGCAGCCATGAAGAAAGATGACAGTAACTGGTGCCGGAGCTTTACAGAGCAAGACTTCCCGGAGAGCGACCGCAGGAGGATCAGGATTAGTTCAGATCTCCGGTCTCTCCCCTGGCTCAGCGAGGATGACATCCAGAAGATGGAGCTGCTGGCTGGGGGAGAGGTGGTCAGTAAGGCCAGGGTGCCTGCACATGGACAGGTACTTCAGGTGGCACTGGATCCCCCTGCACACCAGCAGGTAACCAGTTCATCTGTTTTAATAGAAGTTCATTTGAATCTGATACAATGTGGAGTAATTATTATTACTTTTTTTTCTTGTTTTTTTTAAAAAAAAGACATTTTTATGTCTCCCAGCCTCATGAGCTGACCATGAGTTATTAGCTGAACAGCTGTTTAATAACAAAACTGTTGCAACAAGTCAGTTTTGACCTAGTAGTGTCCTCAGATTTGTCCTGTCAGGTTAAATCAATTTTATTTATACAGGCCAAAATACTGAGCCTGTCCCAGAGAGATTTAAAGTATGACTCCTTTTTTCCTAGAATCAGGGTTATGTATCAAATTGGACAGACGTGTACTAGGTTTTATACAGAGAAGACCAAGGTAACAATGTGCAGGCCTTACATACAAGGGTCTTTCGTTTTTTCATTTCAATATATACTAATATATATATAAGTATATTAAGTATAAATAATTTGTAGTTAAAAATATAAATCAAAAAGAAAAAGTAAATAAGAGTATCATGTAAAATGAAGATTTAAACTATATATGACCTCCTGTTGTTCAAAGTAAGGGCAGACCTGATGTTATTTATAACTACCAGCCAGGGTCTGGGGGGGCAACTGGAGCACTGACTTTTGCAGGGGGATATGAAGTTTGTGTGCTCACACATATGAAATACATTTATTTCTACATCTACTACGCATATCTACTTTAAAGTAACACAAGAGAATGGCAACATATAAATCTTAGCTTCATTCTTTGAGGACTCAAAAAGAAGATGTATGTCCAAAGTCACATTGCTCGCACTCCGTCTAACTTGCGCACAAAAATTAATCGTTGTTGTTTTGGTTCTGAGACATTGCTTGTTAGTCTGTGGCAGTGTGCAGGAGTTTGTTTGCAAATTGTTATGTACTCATTTGAAGAACCTGTCTCATGAAATAGATCTGCAAAGAAGTCATTTACAACTTAAAGTACAACAAAAGAAAATATACTACACTGACATGTGTAAAATGTTGCTACTACCCCCAGCCCCCCCCTAAACACACCCCTGCTTCTGGCTTAAAATGAATTATTATTAACTAAGTTGAAGACAATGATCAAATTGTAGCCCCGGGCACTAAAGACTGAGGTGTCTAATAAAAATGAGTGCTCTCTTTGTATTAAATTAATAGAGTAATTTAACGCTAATCTTTGTTCCTCACATCAGCCTTCACAGGAGAGGGATTCCCCTGAGCATGGATCTGTCCAAAGACATCCAGAATCCCACAGTGAGCGCTGCCAGCGGGGGCACTGCTCCCTGATCAAACGCACTGATGACTGGTTTGAAGTGTTTGCCTTCCACCTGGATCGGGTCCTGGGACTCAACAGAAGCCTCCCCGCTGTGCTGAGGACTTTCACCAGTGAGATTTTACCGTATCGGTACATCAGGGGTATCCCCAGACCTGTAGTTTGGTGGGATCCGGACATCCAACACCTCTCTGATGGAGACAACGACCAGAACTCAATACCCCTCAGCTGGATCCAGTACCAGAAGCTGCTGCAGGCCCACTGTGGGAGTGAAGCAGACCCGACGTCAGCACCCTGTGTGGGAGTCCAGCACTCAGAGTGGGGCAGACTGGCTCTCTTTGACTTCTTACTGCAGGTAAGAATTGTCTGTTTCTCTCCTGCTTTTGTCAGATGGAAGAGACGACCAACCGCACACAGACATGACATATTTCATTATTGTAATTATCTTTTATTTTGAAAAATATTGTGCTTTCCTTCCTAAATTGGATGACATGAGTCAGGGTTATTAAAGGGAGGATTCCAACTTGAAACTAGAAAACAGTTTGGGACATGTTTTAATTATAGTAATTTAACTAGTTTCAATCAAAAAAGAATCAAACTGTTCCCTCTGAGGTCTGAGCAACAGCACAACCAGTATGCACTAATTATATGTGACACTGCAGCTCGTCTATTCCTGGTCAGACATAAATGATTAACTGGGTGGTGTGAAGCAGTGACTACCCTGCAAGAAATAAAATCTGAGAAAGTGTGCTGGTCTAAATTTAAGTCAAAACTGACTTAATTAGTTACGGTAAAGTTTGGTGTATTAGACCCACTTTTAAAAGTTTATCTTTTGATGCTTTTGATGCCTTCATTTAGAGATGGGACAGTAGATCGAGTCAGAAATCCGGGAGAGAGAGAGAGTGGGGAATGACATGCAGGAAAGGAGCCTCAGGTTGGATTCAAACCTGGGCGACTAGGACCAGTGTGACCAGTTATACATTGATAAAATGCTGGGACATGCACCGTCATGACCACAAGGGCAGCCGCCAGCATCAACCATTACATGCAGCCTGACACAATTAGAGACTCGCTCCCATTCTTTGTGTATTTCAAGCTGACGCATGCGAGGATTTATAATGACACGGACCAGGCTGAAGGCTCCACTTATTAACGTAGTTTCTCCCTCATTTCATCATTATCATGTATTATTTATACATATCATTAATAAACCTTGTGGAGTGCTGGATTTATTGGAAATAAAACTCTTCTATTAAAGACTGGGAGTGACCAGTGGAAGTGGGCAGAGCACCTCTAGGTGAATTGGTCTCCTGCGGGTCACAGGAGGAAGGAGGCCACAGTGTCATGGTTAAAAAAAATCTGGGTGAAGTCACAATGTGTAAAACAATGTGTCCACATATGCAGAAACAAGCTTCCAAGCAATGTGGCGGACGTTAAGTTTGGATTCTGGGAGTGAGTTCCCACCCGCTGATGTGCGATTGGTCTGTAGCTTCAGTGATCGAAAATATGAGGAACTAGCGTTGTAGTTTCACCCCGCTTACCGCAACAGCTTTCGATGACGTAAAATTACAATTTTTGCATCATCAGAAGCTCTTTTTCAGACTTAAAAATACAAAGATTTCCCGTCTCAGGAGAAAATAAGGGCGGGATGCACGACCATTTAAAAATACTACCAGGTTTCTAATGATACAAAGCTTAATGCAAATGGGTGAAGCATCCCTTTAAGAAAAGCATTTAGTCGTCTAACAGCTTAACTGAGTTTCTTTTTTTTGTTAGTTTTCTTAGTAAAAGTGTGTTTGTGATTTTTCTCACTGATTTCTTTCCTTAGTAGTAGTGCAGTTAAAAGCATTTTCCACATTAAAAAAAAATATTATTATTATTATTATTATTATTATTATTATTAATAATGAAATAAAAGGTCTATTTAACTGTTGACAGGGAGCCTCTACGTACAAAGTAAACTTTGATTCTTTCAAATGATAAATAATTGTACATATTGAGTCTTCCTTATACCCTGGAAGTGAACCTAAACCTTTCAGTGCATGTGCCAGGGTAGTAATTCTAAAGGACCTAAATAGGTGCCTTAAAGAGCTTCTAATGAAAGCCTTTGTAAAACATCCAGCATGCAGTCTCTCTATTTAACTATAGTGAACGTTAAACTGGGATATGACCGAACCAAAGACAACGCTTACTCTTCGCTCTTTGTTATTTCTTTCACTCTCTAAATAACAGCCACTCCTTTCTCCGAGGCTTCCTGGCCCAAAAAGCAAAATGTTTTTTTAAAACTTGTTCTTCGATTTGCTTAGTTTTTGCAAGAGAAAGGAAACAGGCTGAATGGCAGTGACTCATGTCTCTCTCTCTCTCTCTCTCTCTCTCTCTCTCTCTCTCTCTCTCTCTCTCTCTCTCTCTCTCTCTCTCTCTCTCTTTCTCTCACACATACACACACACACACACACACACACACACACACACACACACACACACACAAACACACAGCAGATGTCCTAGCTGGCCCTGCCATTTCATTTAGTCTGTGATCAAAGATTGGGCTTTAAGTGTAATTGGGATAAGATGCCATCTGATCTCACACATTAGAAGTATAAAGCTGTTTGTAGCAATCCTCCCACTCTGCAGAAAGTTTCTCTGTTCCCTGTGAGGATTACACAAGAGATCAGCCTCAGTTCAGCGAGACAGTATGTGGTTCTAATTATAATGTACAGCAGCAAATACTATTCTGACCACGGACTCTACAGCAATGGAAGCATCTGCAAACTATCTGCAAACTATGAACTGTGTTTTATAGGTTGTGTGTTCAAAGTGCTGTGGTGGCTTGAATGTTAAATATGTATGAGGCAAAAAAACATTGATTATCAGTAAACCTGTGCATAAAAGCCTCTTTTCATGTGCAGAGGAGATTGCCAATAGAGGAGAGATTATATCCTGTATGGACTCCATAACCTGCACGGAGAAAAAATAACTGACTGGACTGGACGTAAAGTTTCTGAAACAGCAGAAACATTACAGTAAATGCAACACGGCTGAAATTGACTGCCTCTGCTGCTCTAATGACTATTGCTATAATCATGGTATTGGAGTTTATTGCATTGTGCTCGTGTTGTGTAGCTGACATGCTGTCCAACAGATGTTTGATGCTCAGCATATCCAGAGCCGAAGCTCCTGTCATGTCGATTATAGCAGCATAAAATAGGCTGAACGTTTTGCACAGTGTGTGTTGATATAATGATACTGCAGAGTTGTGTTCATGAAGCAAACACGCCTCCTCTGCTTCTATATGAAAAGAGAAGTACTGTATGTATGGATGAGATGTTGAAAGTTCTCAAAAGGAAACAAACTAAATCAGTGCTGAGTCTTCCGTAGTTTTATGACATATTTTTTTGTAGCAGTATATCTGCTGGGGCTGTCTACTTCAAAGTTGATATTTGGAGTCAACAGAGTCATGACTCTTATCATTCTTGTGTTTTTTGCTGACATGAGTGATGCACGTGTGAAAACATAGAAGTTTTTAATCTGACACAGTCCTACCTGAAAGGTCTTAAAGTCTTTGGTGCAGAATTTTCCTGCTATTTAGAGGACACATAAGTGAAATGTCTACAATGGCGAGTTCACATTGCAGTTCCAGTCCGCTCTTCACACACAGGGATGAGTCTCTCCCAGCAGGCCCCCTGACATCAGTGCACTTGTTTTTGGAAACTTGCGTCCACATTTGAACTTATATCGTTTCTGAATTTTCTTTCAAATTTCTTTTTTCAAAAGTACGTCATTTTGGCTGTTGCAGGTTAGTTGCCGTTGACTGCAAACGTACACAACAACTGTAGAAACAAAAACGACTTCTACAGGCTATAAAAGCTTTCTTCACCTACCTTCCATTAAAGAGTGTCGCAGAGATTTTCTGTTTCAGTTCCTGAGTGTAATTAGATATTAGATAATTAATTTCTGACTGGTGAAAAGGTAAAGAGGTTACAGTAGATCAAATCAGTCCTGAACCTTCAACATAATGGTTAAAGTTAATGAAGAAATACGTGTGTGTGTGTGTGTGTGTGTGTGTGTGTGTGTGTGTGTGTGTGTGTGTGTGTGTGTGTGTGTGTGTGTGTGTGTGTCAGTGTCGGCGGGTTTGGATGTGATGATGTCAGTTCAATTAAAATCCCAATACAGCTCTCAGCGTGTAATGCACGTCGCGTGTGTGCTTTTGTCTCCCTGAGTGTGAGTGTGTGTGTGTGTGTGTGTGTGTGTGTGTGTGTGTGTGTGTGTGTGTGTTTGTGTGTACGTGTGTGTCTTTGGATTTACATTTTGAGTGGAGCTCGTTTATGAGGTGTCAGCTCCTAATGATGGTGCCATGGTTGTTTCTTTGCTAAAAGATTGGATGTTGGAGATGCAGGATATCAAGAAAGCCTTTACAATGTAATGAGAGAGAGAGAGAGAGAGAGGAGAGAGAGAGAGAGAGAGAGAGAGAGAGAGAGAGAGAGAAAGAGAAAGAGAGAGACATTCAAAGGTGGAGAAAGGAGAGAGGTTTAAATAACTTGTTTTTACCATTGGCACATACCAATGCATTTTAAAAGAGCGAATGATTGATAATTACATTTTCATTTTCACCTCTTGAATATGTCCACTGCACACCAGTGTAAGATGACATGTCGCAGCATTCATGATCGCAAGCTGGCTGTCCGTTAAATATATAATTCTTTGCTCTGTGAATTTCAGTTTCCCGTTGCAAACAATATGACATATTGTGCTTTTGTATTCAAGGTGAACAATCTGAGGTGTTGAGCTTTGTATTTAATAGGTGTTGACTCAAATCACAACACAGAGGCTCGTCAATAAACGGTTTGTGCTGAGCAGAAAAAAAGAATTATCCGGTGTTGCTGACAAAAGTCAAAGCTGAACATTTCAATTACAGAAGTGGATCTTATTTATGGAGCGTTATCTCCCCTTTGTACAACAAGCTCTGTTGAGTGAGAACGCGAGTGTCAGTGCCTTGCAAAGCCCCCTCCTTCCTCGTTCCTCGTCAGCCTCCGAGAGCGACAGAGAGCAAAAATAGGGAACAATAGAATCAGGCTGATTTTCTCTCTGACGCTCCCTCGCGTGACGTGCCGTCAGGGCAAGCTGTGACTTTTCAATCATCATCGCCCGGGTTCTGGATCGGATAGACAGGCATTTTTGGAAGGAGGTATCCAAACCTCAAAATGCTTTTCAACACTTCTCTCTAGAGTCCAAAAGCAAACACAGATATTAGCCCCAATTAGCGAGCTCACTTTGCTGACTGCAAAGAGATCTGCTTTCTGGGAAGCGTGCCAGTAATCCATGCGAGATGCCTATTCATCTTTACACACCAGCTCG